CGTTCCGGGGGAGGCTGCGCTCGCTTCCCAGCCGGCCGAGGAAAGAGATGGAAACCTGCGTCCGACGCAAGGGTCGCTGAAAGGCAAAGGGAACAGAACGTCGGGTTGTCTGGGGAGTCGGCAGCAGGGCCAGCAGGACTGATCGGGGTCGCTTGGCACACGGACAACATCTTCCTACCCCCCGGTTACCAATCACACCACAGACACCCTCAATTACACCGTTTTGGTCCTTCACTACAGACTTATATTAACATTATTTCTTCACAATAATGATACCTAATGCAAAAAATACTGTTAAGGAAGAAATAAAATAAGAAAAGAATGAGCAAAAAATTACAAGTTATATACAGATTAAAATAAATTCCATCAGGAAAAGAAACAATTCTTTTATTATTTTCAGTTGGCCCCCGTGGGAATAATTTAACGGCCAAGCGCCTGGGCAGGGCTGGGCGGCGGCAGAGGCACCTGGGGGGGCCGGGGCCGCCCCGTTACTTCACTGAGCTGCTGCCTGCTGACCTCGCCAGCCCTCGCGCTCCGCCGACCCCAGAGCTCTGTGCAAATCGTGAAGCAGTTCGGGTTACACCGTTGGTCTCAGAGCCTTGGGCACTTGCACAGGGTGGAAAACCAAAAAGGAAGGGTAAATTTTCTTGGAAAATATGCTGATGCTGCTAGTTGACCTTTTGTTCCTTCTGTACCAAAGCCACCCTAGATGCTTTCCTCCTCGGACAGTCTGAAGCTCCTGGCTAACTAAAATCGGCCTCACGCCTGCTCGTGGGTGCAGAGAGCGAATTGCAAGGGCATCGTTGGTAACACAGCCCCCCGTTCCCCCGAGCAGCTGTTTCCCGTGTTTCAGCATGCTGGAGGGAGCCTTCGCCGCTGTGCTTCTCCACTCCGGCCCGGCACAGCAGCCTTCGCCTGTCCTTCTCCACGCCCAGCAGCCGGAGAGGCTGCGCGCGCCAAGGACCTCCAGGCCGATACACTGTGCGCCGTTCCTCCGAAATCGGCCGGTAGCCCCGTTCTGCAAGCAGCTATGACCCGACACGACACTTCGGAGAAGCACTAAAACACGGTGAAATTCATGGGAGCAGCTCCTCTCGACGGCGGTGGCTGTGGACGCACCTCCCGCTCCCCACGGGCTGCGGATGCGGAACGGCAACAGGTGAGACGCGGAGCACGTCGTTTCGCTCGGTGGCGGCAGCAGTCCAGTCCTCGGCATTTCTGATTTTTAGATGCTGTAATTCGAAAATGCCCCGGACACACATCCTAAACATCACCTGTGTCGCCACAGTTACCCTTTGCAAGGTGTAACTGCTCTCCTGACCCTCCTGCAATCCCGCTTTACCGGCAAAATCACTGCTACAGCAGCAGATCGCAGCTGCAGCGTAGAACAGCGTAAACATCACAGTATTTCTGGAGGCTGCTTTGTATCGGTGAGGATGACGAGACTTTGCAGCGATTTAAAATCACCCATAAAGTATCTGCGAGCAATTACACTCAGAGAGACAATTCGATTCTTAGCTGTGTGCTTGAACAGAGGGCTGTACCCCCGAGGTTGCTGACGCAGAGAAATGATTGAATCTTTCTACTTAAATTATAGGCCAAATAGCAGTGTGCGATGCAGAAGCAGCCATCCAGCATACCAAAACAACGGCACGAGTCAGAAATTTCTGCCACAGCTCCCGGATACTATCAACACGGAAAGATGCCACTCTAAATAAACCCCAGGCGATGAACTGGACGTGTCCGCATC